TGAGGTCCCTTCTGACCCTAGCATCTGAGTCAGCTTTTTTCAAACATCATTGAGTTTTCCCTTATTGACTTGAAATTGGTTTGCATTTTTCCCATCTGACTGCTGGGGAAGCCGAGTTACAGAGAAGACTAACATTTTTCATGAACTATCGGCTCCATAAAACCCATGGGACCCGATTCTTTTTTGCTTTGTTCCTTGCACAGTTAAACATAGGCTTGTGAAAAGTGAATGCAAAGCTCATGTAAAATGCTACCACCAGGGAGTGGAGAATTGTGATTTGGTATCTCTATATGGTTACTCTGCCTGTGTCAGGGATGGCATGTGGCAAGGATGAGTCAGGCCCATAGTGGTCCATTTCTGTTCTTCCATGACGCTGACATAGTACTTTACCTGAGAAATATTTCCGCAGCGTATGATTAAGGACTTTAGCATAGTACTACTGATGGGCAAGAAGGCAGAATTAATATTGAACAGGGAGTATTAACTTTGCATTTCCTCACATCTGAGTGTTAGTCACACTGCTCCCATAATCTGGGTCTTTTTTTCCTTTTGTTATTTTTCAGCATTTCCTAGATTTTTTTTAAAAAAAGCAATGCAGTAATAAATATAATAAGACTTTGAAACGCAATTGAATTGCTTGCAATGTGACCCAATGTTTAACATGAAAGATGGGAGACTGGCAGAAATGAGACCCTTTCCTCTGTAGAAATTTGTGGAAGAGTACTATACTACTCTTTTCCAAACCTTTTGGAGGTTTGGCTGGTTATGGTATGGCTGTTTGTGTAGCAGAAAGCCCCCTTTTTCTCTTGCCTGCATTTGCTCTCTCCTCTTTGGATATGTTTCTCTTTTTCTACCTTTTCTTCCTTCTTCTCTCTTTCACTTTAAGATAAGGAATTGTGTTTTAAAATTTGTGTGTGCGCATTTTGTATCTCCCCTTGTAGTTTGGTATTTTTATCTATTTGTGTGCCATGGCATTTGTAGCTTATATTTTATACTCCTTACCTTTCAACTTTCAACTAAATGTGTTTTAGTAAGTTATACATTGTAACAATGTTAACAAGGGTAGGAATCAAACTGTCCTTCACTGTATCAGGCTGGCCCCTGAAAGAGCGAGTGAATCAGTGATTGAATGTGTAACATGGAAGCAGACAGCAATTATCACCCGGAAGCTGCAGATCAACCAACAGAAGAACTCAATAGAAGACAATGTAACAACCGGGAAATCTCTAAACGTCACTGATCAAGGGCTAGAAGCCCTGGCCTGAGTTATTTTAAGGATCCCGAGTTGGACATTTGTAGCCAACATTTATAGGGTGCATTGTGACGGGGACTCCCTTCTGAACACCTCAAGGAGACAAAATGGGGTCCAAGGGGGTGGACATATCTCAAGGAAGGGATTTGGTTGTAGAACTGCAGGGGCAGGGGCAGAGTTGGTTGGGAGCGCGAGGGCTCAAGGAAACTGACAGGCTTGAGGCATGTTGAGGAAAATGTCTTTGTTTAGGAAAAAAACCCCTAAGGTTAGAGCAGGAGGCCAAGAAGATAAGTGGGTACGGAGGGAGGAAATTTCCCCTCTCCATAGGGAGATTCTGAAGGGTGGGCCCAGCCCATGGAGGGAGGATGTGTGCACCCCAGGCTTTTCCATAGGGGACATTGAATCCCAATTTGAAAGATTTTGCCTTTGTGAAAAACCCTCGGTTCAAAGGCAACACAGTGCCTTGGTCTGGCTGCTATGGCATGCTGTAAAAACAGTAGCTGAGGAAAAAGCTCAGTGAGCCTCTGAAATTGAGGAAAAGGAGGAGCTAATCCAAATTCTAAAAGATATATGTATTCAATTGGAAACCAGTAATCAGACTCTAAAGGGGTTGTCTCGGAACTTGGAAAATGAAAATGAGCAATTGAGAAAAATAAATCAAGACAATGCCCAACAATTGGAATTGTTGGACCAAGAAAAGGCTAGTCGAGAAGCCTTGCAAAAATTGGTAAAAACAATGGCTAAAGACCAAGCTGAGAAGGGAGCCAAGGTCAACCATAGCCCCTGTCTAAATACCATTAACCATTTAAAAAAGGAACT